TTCTCCCCTGCTCTTGGCCCCACACACCCCCTCCTGTCCTTCAAGCAGGAGGGCTTGAGACCAGTTCACCTGAGTAGCCTCACTTTCCAAGGAAGTTGGAAGTCAGAATCAGGTCAGATGTGTATGCATACAATCTTGGGAAGAAAGGAAGAAGGAAGACAAAGGAGGAAGAAAAGAGGAAAAGAGGAAAGGAAAGAGGACCCAAAAAACAAACGACGCATCCACGATTGCCTCCAAATGTCAATTTGATCTAGGTCAATGATTCTCAAACTTTATCGTGCATCAGAATCACCTGGAGGACTTGTTTGAACAGTTTCTTGGGTCCCCTCCCAGTTTCTGACTCAGTAGGTAGGGACCTATAACTTGCTTCTCTAACAAGTTCCAGCCGAAGCGCATGGACCACACTTTGCAAACCGCTGCTCCAGATAACTCTACACGCAATGTCTGTGGTGAGAATTGGAACCTCCAAGGCAATCTTCAGCCAGCATTTTAAAAACAGAAGTCAGAGACAGAAGAGCAGAGTCGCTTGGCTTCAGCCAGGAGGAATACAGCTCACTGGAAATTAAGATTTCTCTTCAAATTTCCCCATTGTTGAAGCATTATCAAGTACGTTAACACACACACAAACAGGAAAGCATGGACACACACACACACACACACACAGGTTTACAACCCCTAGTCTTTCCTCAGGATGTTCTTTTCTGGGTGCATACCCTCCTTCTTGGAATATGCCTGGATCTCTCCCTCCAAGGTCTGTTCTTTACTGGGAACATGGACAGGATTGGTTAGCAAGTATGCGAGTTCAAAGCTGTCCTGGGAGCCATGAGACAGCCAGTATCTGCAAAAGAGCAGCAAGCCACTCTGGAAGCTCTGGTCCCCAGAGACCTGTCAGTACTCCAGATAGCAGAGAAGCCAGCCACTGTCACCCTCCAGGGTGGCAGTGACAGCTCACAAACATGGTGAGTTGCTGACAGGTCATGGAGTGGCCTTGAATCTGCTCTGGATTTTTTTCCCCCTACTGTGGCCCAGGTTCTCACTAGGAAAATCCAAACACTTGGACTCTGGGAAGGTTCTGCCTCCAGGCTTGGCCAAGCAGCTTTCCCTGCGACTCAGCCCCAAGATCCCCTACATAGCTCCAAATTCCTGGTGGGTGGCACGGCCTCTTCCTGCAGAAAGAATAAAGCTGAGCCAGGGCAACACGCCCCCCTCCCCAGCTCTGCAGTGGGAGGGGTAGGTGGGGTGGGCCGAATCTAGGGCCCCTGGGACTAGCCAGTCAGGCCCCACTCTGCAGGTGGCTAGCTGGGCAGGCTGTGTGTGTGTGTGTGTGTGTGTGTGTGTGTGTGTGTGTGTGTGTGTGTGTGTGTTCAGGCTCAGGGAGAGCCTTTTCCAGCTCCCAGCCTTCAGGAGAACCCAGGCTTCAAATGTTCGGTGTTGTGCTGAGAAGGTCCCCGAAGGGGTCCCTTCTTGCTAACCCCCCTCCTTCCCCCCTCCCACCTAGGACAGCATCTCAGGACTGAGGACTTGTTGGAATCTGAGTGGACCTAGCAAACTCCCTGCGCTGGGTCACAACGAGAGCGGCACATGGAAACCCACCTCAGAAACCCACTAGGAGAAATGACAAGTGGGGCCCCCACGTGGAGGGGGAGGGTCCCCTCTAATGGCTCAGCAGCCTGTTGATCCTGACTAACCAGCACAGGCCCTCTCCCCAGAACATGTGCGACACATCCTGCTCTCCGCTGTAAAGGGGCGCAAGGTCCAGGGGACGGGAATCCAGCTGCTTACGGGGGAGGGGGGCGGGGACAGGGGGGGTGGGGGCGAGGGTTCTACTGGGGCCACAGACTCACACCCTGGAGTCCACGCCACGAAGTGCTGGGCCTTGGCCTCCAGGGGGCGCTGCGGCCCTTCCTCCGGCCGCTGAGCTGAAACCGCGGCTTTTTAGCGGGTTGGGAGCTCGGCCGCGCGGTCCTGCTAATTCAGTTCGCTAGCCTCGTACTTTCTACCTGCGCAGCCCCGAATCCGAGTCTAACGCCTGCAGTCCCCTCTCCGCTCCTGGCCACTCCGACACGATGTAGAGCGCAGCCACGAGGGCCGGGAAGGCTCGCCTGAACTCTTGAGTTCGGGGAAAGAGAACGTTTTTTAAAAAGCAACAGCAGTGCGGGAAGTTCAAATACAAAAGGTCCCCGCCCCGCAGAGGCAGCCGGGGTCTGAGGGGAAGACATAAGCCTTCCTAATGGGTAAAAAAAAATAAATGTTTGTTTTGTTTTTGAGGGTGTCAGCAGCGCCAGGTCCCGGGGAGAGGCAGAGCCTGCCACCTGCCTCCCAGCTCCCCGGGCAGAGCCTCCTGGGTGGGCCGCGGGGTGCGGAGCGCGAAGGCGGGGGCCCGCGCTCTCCCAGCGCCCTCGCCTCGGGAGGCACGGCCGCTGTCGGGGTTCGGGCTGCATCTGCTGGCGCGGCCCCGATCCAGTCTGTTAGCCATTTCCCTGGGAGCGTCCTCGGTGTGGAAAACCCAGAGCCGCGAGGACAGCGGGTGATCGGATCGGCGGGACTGGAGCCAAAGAGAGTTGTGCGGAGCGGGACAGCCCCGTGGAGACTCAGGTCTGGGGGGCGCAGCTGGGCTGCTCTTTCTGCACACCGGGATCGCACCCCTGGTTCAGGGCCGGGAGAGGCTGGTGGGTGAGCCGCTCGTGGGTGGCTTCCCACGATGCGGGGCCGGCGGGGGTGTCTTTAGGGCTCACCGGATCGGATGAGTGCGGAGAAACTCTGGGGGCCCGTCCTAGGTGCGCGGGGAGGGGGCCCGGGGCGGGGAGGAGGCCGGCGTGGCTCCGGGCTTCAGGCTGGTGCCCCTCGCCCCGCGCGCACCTGCCCACGGCGGACGGGCTGCTGCGCCCGCGTGCTGCTGGGGCTCGGCGGGGCCCGATTCCTTCCCCTGCCCCCCCCCCAAAGCCAGGGATCCTCGATTCCACTCTAACCTTTTAAGCAACGGCGATGCCAGGGCCCACTTGGCCCAGACTCCATTTTGGAACTTGGGAGGCTGGGGTGGGCAAGGTAAACTTGCTCCTGGAAGAAACTCGGGCTCGGGAGGTTTGCGGAAAGAGGGCGCCGCGGCGGGGCGGCCGGCGCGGCTGTGTGGCCGGCGGGAAGCGCAGGCGGAGCCGCAGGGCCGCCTGCTCGCACTTGGGAAAGGTGCGAAGCCCGCCGCTGGGGAGTTGGCTTGGCCAAAGCACCAGAACCCCGCGGTCTACAAGGTCACCACGCCGTGCGCGTCTGTCCTGCAGAGGCCGACGGAAAATTCCCTCCAGATTCCCAATTCCCCAAAGCTGCGGAGAGCCTGGGGCGGTTGACCAGGGGACCGCAGGCGTCCCGAGAGCTGAGGCTCCCACTTGGGTGCTAAAATGAAAGCACCCGAATGGAAGCCACTGGGGGAAAGGGGTCTGAAAACCCCAGCTCTTAGGCATTCTACTACCAGGCTGTTCCTCGGATTTGCTTCTGAAGCATGTCGAGTACTGCAGGGTACTAAAACTCTGTTCTCGGTCCTATGCTCACTTTTTCATCTTTGCAAACGGAAAACCGTTGAAGAAAAGGGTAAAGGGAGATGTTCTTATTCCTGAATTATCTTTTACCAAAGAAACGAACATTTCTATCCGCTTTGACATAAATAAAAAGACAATTTTATCTTAATAACATGTCTTGTCGCTTCTGCCTGGCTCCCCATTCGCTGTAACTGTCTGACGGCTATTTTAGCTTTCTTATGTGTGTCTGCCTCCCCGCACATTGAGGCTGTTTTCATTACACTTGGAGAAGGCTCATCCAAAAGCATCTTTCAGCTGAACACCTGGAACCGTGCATCCCCTTAGAAGATCTGAGCTCATCCAAGTCCCCTCTCGCTGTGGACTGACGCACATCTCCAGGGACTCGTCTGGGACGAAAGGCGTTTTTTGCTTAGTCTTGCTCAGGCGGGTGCCATCTGAAAAGAAGCTGTTTCCAATGCATCGGTGACATTCTCTTTCTGTCATTCCGTCACCCTATTCCAGAGCGACTGAAGTGTGTTCTGCGTTTACACTCACACAAGACTAAACTTTTAGAAGAACTTCAGGGGGGGGAATGTATAACTGCACGTCAAATTCGATTACTTTTCCTGGCGCCTGAACCATGAGTTCAATTTTGCCGAGAATAAAGATAATACGTGTCTTGAGAAGCGAAAATTGTATTTTCCTAAATTTTTAAAATGATTTTTCTTCGCCCATTCCAGATGATTCTTTATTGTTTGCCAATGGGCTGCAGATGCCCCCTCCCTTAACCAAGTTGGTGAACTGCTTTTGAAATTGTTCATTAGCTGATTAAAGCTTAGATATTGGAAAGAATTTATCCTGCAACATTCCACATGTATTTGCAGTAATTGAGAAATTAGTCAATTGTCACCTCTATGAATAAACTTTGTTTTTTTTAAAGCAGAGAGAAACAGACTACACAGATAGTTACGTCCAAAAATGTGCATAAAACCACTTAAAACGTGGGAAGGATGATATAGGCTGGAAAGCAAAATCCAGATCACATTTACCCTTTGAAGATGAATGTTGTGTTAGACATATTATGTGGAAATTACGACGGGGAGCTCTCCAAGCAAAAGTATAAAGTGTCCCCTTTGGACTTCTCTGCAGGATCTTTGAAAAGCAGAACGTAGTTGCTGAGTTTCTAAGAGTGGAGGGAAAAGTGGCAAGGAGAAGGAAAAGGGTGGGCGTTGTCTTTGTGTGTGAGTTTTGAGTTGAGTCACCTTGGGCTCAGTGTCTCAAGCAGCAGAGAAATCACCAGCAAACCTGCGCCTTTAAGATTCAGTTGCTATCCAAACACAAGTAAACAGAGCGGACCATTAGCGGGCTCGCAGGGTGGGGAGGCGGAGCCTGGGCGTCCCAAGCCCCACTCTAGCTGGTGCAGCCCGCCCGAAGGGGAGGCGGGGCCGCTACTAAAGCCTTGGACTCTCGGCCTCAGGCAGCCTGGGGAGGGACTCGGGCAGGGAAGGAGCTGGCGCGCAGGCTGCTGGAGGGTGATGGCCCTGCGAGTCTGCGGGCTCCCTCCTCACCCAGAGTCGGAGGCGAAAGGCTCTCCGAAACCCGAGGATCAGGGCCAGCACTGATCGCAGAACCTAAACACCCCGATCACCACCACCCCGGGCGTCCACCGACTCGGACGAAAACAAGGATCCGCACTCCCTCCCGCTTCTCGGGGTCCTCCAGATATGTACCCGGCTCTCAGGACTCTGCGCGGAAAAAGAAGTTTGCCCAGCTTGGACCTAATGACCTCGCCAAGCTGTGCGCCTGGCTGCCTGGATCTGGTGTGAGCGGTGTTATCCAGGCAGACGTTTCTGCCGGAGGTGAGTGTCTGCTCTGGGAAGGGGGCTGCCTGCAGACGCCCCGAGGAAGGAAAGGTTTGGGTGTGCTAGAGGTGCTTAGCTTCTCAGTCTGGCGTGCCTGAAGACTAGAGGTTGTAAAAAGGACTCGTCTGGTTGCCCTGGTGGGGCATTGTATTTCGGACTTGCTTGGATCCTGAGCACACAACCGCAGCTAACACCTAACAGCACACACACACACACACACACACACACAAACACACACACTTTTTTCGTGCATTTTGGGACATTTCAGAAATCTAAGCGTTTGCTAAGATTTCTTATAAAAGCAGATGGACGTCTGTTGAAGTCAAAGCCCAGTCTCACGGCTTTTCTGTCCCGGCCCTAAGAAAGTCTGGGTCCATTCTGTTGGAGCCGCGGCTGCCGCGCAGCGCGTCGGGGCGGCGGCGAAGAGCTAGGACACGTAGAGCCTGCCCAGCCTACAGCTCCGAGGGCAAATTTCAAGATGGATTAGTTTGGTCCTAAGTAAATTTACCAACCTTATGGTGGCCTTTTGATTTTCTTCCCACTTCAGTTGTGGCTGAGAGGGCAGAAGGCAAACTCCCCAGGGGCTGAAACGCTTGGATTCAGAAGAAATGAGTGAGAAAGGAATTTGCAGTGGAGGAAAAAAAAAAGGAGAGAGGAAAAGGTGTTGGCCGAGGCAGAGGTGGTTCGATCCCTCTATCTGTTAGAAGAGAACAAAAGAGGGTTGGGGTTTCCCAAAGCAAAAGAGCACAGACAGCTACTTTCTCTGCTCAGCAAACTGCAGTTTGTAGAAAAACAAGAGTGTATATATATACATATATATGTATATGTGTGTGTGTGTGTATATATATATATATATATATATATATATATGCCAGGGGATGGAGGGAGAAGAGAAAAACAAACCCAGATTATGCGGAAGGCATCTTAATTTAATTAACTCCTTGGGAAGACCAAGGCGCTGCAAAGGGGCAGGAACTTCACCGCCCTTTTCTCTATTCACCTGATCAAGTCTCTCTCCTCATGTTTCAAAAATAATCTTTGATCTCTGAATCATAGAGATTTCTATTGTGCTTTGGGCTGAAATTCATTGAGTTTATCCTTCCCCCATTCCTTTTTTTTCCCCTCCAGAATCGAATAGAGGCGTTTTAGAAGATGATTCTTAATTACATTATTTCTAGAATTACATTATTCAATGTAACAACACCACAACATCATTACCAAAAGTCGAGGCTCATTACCAACTTACTATGTACCTTTCATTCCCCAATGCTTTGAAAGCTTCACTGGATTGAAATTAATATGTACACATCTTCCTTGCTGACAGCCAGTGAACTGAGTTTTACAAAACTTTGAACATGCCTGGAAATTCCTATGAAGAAAACTGGTGAAAGAAATGTGGCCTCCACTCCACCGAGCTATTTATGCCTGTAGAGTGGTTCAGCTTTCTTTCTTAGCAAAATTGAAAGTAGCAAGTGGTTTGAAACAGGATGGTGGAGAGATGACAGCAGTCGTTGGAACTGCCTGAGTGTGGGCTCACAAAATGAAAGTACTTTAGATCTCAGCATTGACTTAAAATATCATTTGACATATGTTTCCAGAAACTCAACAGGAACATGCACATCTAAACTCCCTAATTATTTATGGCAGCAGTGTTTGGCAGTCATTTAGGGTTTGTGAAAGGGTTTCAGAAGGTACCAATGGGTCTTCTGTCCTCTGAGAAGACACAGTTTAATTTGCCCTGCAAGTGAAAAGGAACACACAGCACGAGGTAGCGCTTCAGTGCCAACATGAAGCTGAGTTTTAATAGAGCCATTAGCTTCTTTATGTTCAGAGGAAAGGGAAGGAAGATGGCATTCAACTTTCTGCCAGCAAAAATGAGTGTTGTAACCTGGATGGCCCAAAGTCCACTAGGTAAATTTGGAATTCAACATCACAATATCCTTCTAGTTTTGCAGTCAATAGCCCCCGCGGTTCTCCCCGCACTCCAGCCCATGGTAGCAAGTTGTGCTTTGACTCCCGTGTTTATTTCTAAGAAACCTAGTCTGGGAATATACCCAAATACTAATTTCAGTTTCCTATCTATATAGGAGAGGCTGCTTTTCAACACTGGGGGGAGGAGGATGGATACATTGAATCTCTGGGAAATCCTCATTTCCTAAGGAGAAGGAAATAAAGATTAAATTTATTATTTTTAATGGAAGGGGAAATAATCAGACAGATTGCCAGGAATGCTAGTGGATTCTTCTCCCCCCCCCCTCCCTGACTGTGGAGGAGAGAGGGTTTGAGGGCTGCGGCTGAACAGAAGTGAATAGTGATTTGTGGTGGGAAAGTTTATTACTTCTGGGGGTTTACAGTTTCGGTTGAGTGGTCTGACTGAGACCCTCTGACTGTTGTACACCTCTCATTAACTCCCAGCCTGAACTCCCAGACCGCATACCCACCAGGCAGAAGCGGTTCGTTAATAAATCTCTGTCTCCGAGTTGTTCCAAACAGAGGAGGAAGGTGCGGGCCCCACGGAGACAGCCAGATTCTGCCTTGCCAAAGCGCTGTGTCATTAGCGCAGCCGCTTAACGCCTGCCCGTACACAGTCACGGACACTACTGTACAACGCATTGGGGCAAGAACACTCAGGTGCGGAAACCTGGCCAAGGCTCTGCGCTCTCCTGCAGGGGCCCAAAGCCTCAGGTGGGGCCTTTGGTGGTGCAATATGGCCAGCCTGCCCGTCTGGTGGGAAAGCGCTCAGCACTGAGATGCCGCACCTGGGCGCCCAGCCCCGCTGAAGAGGGGTTGGCACGAGGAAGCCATGGGCCCACAGTGAGAACAGATGTGTGCTCCGGGGACCGGGGGGTCTCAAGTCAGACCTCTACGTTGCCCGGAGAAGGGGGTGGGGGGCATAAATTGAGGCAGCTCCCTGCTTAGGCGCAGGCCCGAAGACCCCAGGCGACCTTCAGGGTGGCAGCTGTACCAACGTGCCCCAGGCCGACAAAGACTCACTGTGCCCGCCCTGCTGCGGCTACCCCGCTTCGCCTCCTCCCCCCCCCGCCCCCAGGAGTCTCTCTGGCTTTTTCCCTCCCCTCCTCCCCTGTGCAGGGGCCGCTCCCGCCTCCTGAGAGCTTGGCGCTCAGTCTGGGAAAAGAGGTTTTGGCCTCTGGGATGTTCTTCCCCTTTCTGCGCCCCCCCCTCCACCTCCCTGATTCTGAACCATCTGGAAGGGATCTTGGTCGGGGACGGGAGGAGAGGCAGCCCCTGGGAAGGAGGAGGGGGGATTCCAGGCCGAACCCAGCTCCCCCTTCCTCCCTCCCGAGGTGTCACTTTTCTTTCCTGCGGCCCCGTCACTGCTGATAAATGGCACTGAGGCAGAGGAAGGAAAGAGAACACCTCCGAGGTCAGCTGCGGGCATATCGGAAGGCCCAGAAGGACAAAGCATGCCCCCTTATGCCCTCCCGGGGAGTCCCCCGCCCCCCGAGTTGGGGGAGCGCGGGAAGGGCGGCCCGCGCTGGGCACTCGAACCCCCAGATCGGACCCACAACCTGCAGTTCCACCGCCACCTCCTCCCAACCCGGGGGCTCAGAGGAGCTGCTGTGCCCGGGGTGGGGGGCTGCTGGCGTTGGTGGGGTGGGAGGTCACGGGTGACGGACTGGAGACGGGAGGGGATCAGTCTCCTGGGACTGAAGTCTTCCTCTCGGTGCGCGCCCGGAATCTCATCTTCCTATGGGCGCCCCACCCACCAGGAATCCCTACCTGCCGAGCCCTGAGCCCGGCTTGGGCCGTGGCCTCCCTCCGGGCAGGTGCTACGGCGTGGCCCCCTCACGGTTCCTCTGGGGAGTCTTGGAGGAGAGTGGTGGCCGGGGAGCCTAGGAGAAGATGCCACCTGCGCTGGCCAACTTAATAACCACCCTCTCTCCCCCTCTCTTTCCCCTGCCATTTTTTTAGGGCTTTCTCTGCGTTGTTGTTTCTGGGATTTTTGTTTTGTTTTGTTTTTCGGTGTGTGTGTGTGCCGAGACTCCTACGCCCACCGCCCGTGAGTCCTGGAAGAAAGGGGCGTCTCACTACGCCCCCCAGCATCCAAGAAAATGGGGAGCAAAGCCTTGCCAGCGCCCATCCCGCTCCACCCATCACTGCAGCTCACCAATTACTCCTTCCTACAGGCCGTGAACACCTTCCCCGCCGCGGTGGACCACCTGCAGGGCCTGTACGGCCTCAGCGCTGTGCAGACCATGCACATGAACCACTGGACGTTGGGGTACCCCCACGTGCACGAGATCACCCGCTCCACCATCACCGAGATGGCGGCGGCCCAGGGCCTGGTGGACACGCGCTTTCCTTTCCCGGCTCTGCCCTTTACCACTCACCTGTTCCACCCGAAGCAGGGGGCCATTGCCCACGTCCTCCCTGCCCTGCACAAAGACCGGCCCCGTTTTGACTTTGCTAATTTGGCCGTGGCCGCCACGCAGGAAGATCCGCCTAAGATCGGAGATCTGAGCAAGCTGAGCCCCGGGCTGGGCAGCCCCATCTCCGGCCTCACTAAATTGACTCCGGACAGAAAACCTTCCCGAGGGAGGTTACCGTCCAAAACGAAAAAAGAATTTATCTGCAAGTTTTGCGGCAGACACTTTACCAAATCCTACAACTTGCTCATCCACGAGAGGACCCACACGGACGAGAGGCCGTACACCTGTGACATTTGTCACAAGGCCTTCCGGAGGCAAGACCACCTGCGGGACCACAGGTGAGGCCCGGCGGGAGGCTGGGCGGGAGAGGGCGGGTGAGCGTGGCCCAGAAAAGCCGAGCCTGACCCTCCAAATGCCACTCAAACGCCCGCTGACCTAGACTAAACCCCACGCGGCGCCCCCACACTCCCAGCCGGCTTCAGCGAACCCCCAAATTTACTCCCCCTTCCTTTTTTCTTTTTCTTTTCCTTTTTCTCTTTCTTTTCTTCCCTCCCTCCCCTCCTTCCTTCCTTCCTTCCTTTCCTTCCTTTCTCTCTCTCTCTCTCTCTTTCTCTCTCTCTCTCTCTTTTGTGCAGCTGGCTCCTGCCGCTTTGGAATGAGAGAGAGTTTTTCTTTGGTATTATTATTCATTCCCCCCCTTCCAATCCTTGGGCAGAAAAAAAAAATTCTGGTGTGTTGGCTTGGCCTTGGCTCGTTATCCCATTTCCTCTCAGTGGGTTCTCCTTGGCGCCGGGACACGAGCACCGAAAAGCCGAGAGCTAAGGGATCGCACAGTCCTGCTTTCTGGGGACCTTTTCTAGAACTCTGTTCCGGGCCCACTGGAAGCCCCTCTCTCCCCCCCCCCCCCCCCCCCCCCCCAGTAGTGCGCTCCCCACCCCCAGCCTGTCTCGGGGACCCTTCCCAGCCGCAGTTTTAGGGAATCTTGAGGTCAGTTTCCACCTCTCTTCCCTAAACGCTGCTTTAATGAACCACAACTGGAGAAACACCCTAACTTAAGTGTTTTTGCAGGGTGTAAACAGGTCTGGAGGAGGGTTGGTAGAACCTTCTCCGGAATCTACCTGCGATTCCCCCGAGGTGGGACTTCAAGAGATAATTTTAAAAATCAGTTTCCCCGCACTCCACCTTTGCTTTGTATCCTGATTTGTGCAGTTTAAGTCTCAGAGAAAAACCGTGAGGCCACGACGGGCTCATTCTGTAGGATTTCGAGCTCCAAAATAGGCCAGAGAGGGCGATCAAGGGTAGATAAAGCTAGCCGAATGGGTGAATGTTTTGAAGAGTCTGTTAGTTGAGGTTAACCATAAACAGAATCACACAGAAAAAAAATACATTAAAAATAGAATAGAAATTCGGTTTCTTTTGTCTTTCTACGGTTTTGCTTGGGTATTTGTCAAAAGGGGCAAGCTATTTCAATGAAAGCTTATATATTGATTTTCAGGTATATCCATTCCAAAGAAAAACCCTTCAAATGTCAGGAGTGTGGCAAAGGATTTTGTCAGTCTAGAACTCTAGCAGTTCACAAAACTTTACATATGCAGGTAAGTTTGTTTTCTTGCTTAATGACAGTGTTCATTATTGTTGCTTTTTAAAAATCATTATTGCTTTATAAATGGTGTTGGAGGTAGAGTCTGTTCTTAAAAGATTCTATTTAGATCTGTTTTCTACATTCGGAAAAGCAGCCTCTTGGCTTTTTTTTTAATACATAAACTTAATCTTAACATCAAGCCATTTTATATTTGTATTAATAAACAAACAGGCTCTGTTTATAGTAAGTCCTAATTTTAGAATTACACTTAAAAAACAAATCCGATCTGCCCTGCATTTAAAGCTTTCCCATTTGGGAGGAAATAAAGGTAATTTTGATAATGGAGGCATGGTGAAATCCCATATGCTGTCTTTCCCAGGGGCCTCATAATTTGCAGCTTTCAGAACATGGAGGAATAGTTTAATTTTCCAGCTTGAAGAGGAGCTTTATTAGCCGGGAGAATGTGGCTCCTTAAGAGTGGATTAGAGGTGGTTTTTTTTTTCCTTGCCCCCTTTTCCTGCCCGTGACACGGAGATGAAATGAGAAGAGTTGGAAAACACAAAGGCCTCCGCGGTGGCCACGATCGTGAGAGTCCTCGGGCCTCCGCGGTGTGCCTGCCCGAGTGTCCTCAGGATTGGAGGATTAGCAGCACAGATTTGTTCCTGCAGGTCCCCTCTTTTGTAGTCACACGCTTGTTATGTTAAGGCTTGAGATACCGATAAGACAGAAACGATTGAGAGAAGGGTGTGTGGTGGTGGTGTGAAGGATTAATCCTTTGCTTGCTTCGCATCTGAACAGGAATCTCCACACAAATGTCCCACATGTGGAAGAACCTTTAATCAGAGAAGTAACCTGAAAACTCACCTTCTCACCCATACAGACATCAAGCCCTACAGCTGCGAGCGGTGCGGCAAAGTGTTCAGGCGAAACTGCGATCTGCGGCGCCACAGCCTGACTCACACCCCGCGGCAGGACTGCTAGAGAGGCCCAGGATGTCCCGCCCGCCGCCCTGCTCCCCTCCCCAGACACCTCGCTACGTCTCCCACCCGAGGGTCCCGCCCCACACCCTTCATTGACCCCCAGCTCTGCCCTTGCTGCAGCCGCACCTGCAGCTCCAGGGAGTTAAAATGTTCTTCGGGAGGACTGAGAACTATATACAAAGCCACACTAGAACTGCACCCCCTTCACCAAGCGCACGTGCTAGTTTCTTGTAGATACTCACAGCTCATTTTAGAGCTCTGTACATAATTGTCGTGGGTCTTCGTGTTGTTGTTTTTGTTGTTGTTTTTGTATCTTGTCCGATGCACCTAAATGTGGATAAAAATGGAAGCCAAATTTATCTTGAAAGACTGTATTTTCAAAATAAAACTTCTCTCGTTTGTTTCACCACTGCTGCAAAACAAAATGTCTTGCGGTTCAACTTCTGGTTTTCCTGGGGACACTGAGTAGAAGGCCTCTGGAAATTTTAAGAGGGCAGAGTATTATTTATTGCCAGATTTTAAAAATAGGATTTTCTGCTGGTTCTCTTACTGAAACTTTAGCCCTTTCTGCTTTTGGACAATGGTACTCTGGAATTGGACAATTGAGCTGTCTCTTGTTTTTTGATATGAAAATCCTAAGTATTTTTTTCAGGTAAGTGCAATATATGAAATATTACTGATGACATGGACTCCAGTGGCTGCCCTCCTTGGGTGGGGGTGGGGGAGAGAGCACAGAGCAAGAGAAGAGAAGAGAGCTTCTTGTCTATTCATTTTCTGCGAGTCCTTGACCTGCTGTCAAAGTTTACGATGGGCAACTTCTCTTACCATTAGACTTTGAACACTATGATTTATCACTATAAACAAAGACTTTATCCTACCCTCAGGGGACAAGTCTAAAATCCTACACGCTGCCTTCAAGAACACGAGGAAGAAGAGGTGGAAGGAGAAACTACTTAGCTATGTTTGCACATAGTATTTCTTTCCAAGGGGGGAGATCATTTCTGCCAGAAGGTTAGGATTTCTCCACAAAGCAGAGTGAGGTAAAGTCATTAGCTAGGTTTTGTCATTGGGAAAATGTTCCTAGTTATTCCTGTATAGAGAACTTAGGGCAAATGTGTTTTCACCCTGTTAGGCATTTCAGTCTGTCCCAAATGGTTCCTGGAGGGAAATGCTATCATGACATCCCTGAAGTTTGGTGTAGGATTTGGGTGTTCTAGCTTAGGGTAGAGATAAACAGATAGAGATATTATGCAGAGACATACATCTCTGCATATTATGCAGAGGACATACGTCTATGTCCTAGTGTCCCAGTAGGTTCTCACAAATTATTTAATAATAAATACTAGGACAGATTAGGCATTCTCATTTTAAAAATATGCATATGTGTGTGTGTGTGTGTGGCACATTTCACCTTTTGGGGTGATATCAAGCAACATGTTCTGTTTATACGTTAGAACAGGGTAGGTTCTTAGGTATAAGGTAGGTAGGATTTGAAGACTAGATTAAAAATGTCTCGCCAGTGCCTTGCTCAGTATAACTTACTAGGAGGTTTCAAAAAGTGTTTCCAAGTTACTGATGACCCCATTCTTAAGGAACTTAGTTGGAAGTCACGTTTGTGCTTCACTGGAGATGGGTTCTTGACAACAAGGTGTCTGGGAATCTAACTTACAACCAAATATATCACCAGCAGAGATGACTCCAAAGACCTTGACTAGGAGAAGGTGTAGGGTTGGGGTGTGGAATGCATGTGTTTGGTATTTAGAGGAATTAAGAGGTTGTTTGATTTCTTTTGTATGAGCAGAATTAACTCAGTGACCTCTTCTACCCCTACTGCGTCAAGATCTTGCCTGGCCTGACTCAGATTTGAATACCTAAGGGCAGAGTTACACATTGACTGTCCCTAGAGCCCCCCTAATCCTGAAAGCTTTTTCCATGTAGTCAGTCTCTGGCCCCACCCACACCTCCTGACCACAAGTGTCACAGTTCTATCTCACAGAGTTCAGGAGAATTACTGAAAATGACCCTTGCTCACTATCCAGCTGAAGGCATATCCATGTGCTCCCCACCATGAGGTTCTGTAGGTGTATAACTAGAATAGTATTTTCCCCATTTATGTTGTTGAGAGAAGGAGGACAGGGAGTGAAAGAGGAAGGACAGAAGAGAAAGAAAAGAAAGCGATTCCTCTTCCCATACATACATGGCTTCAAAAGTTCTGGTTAATTTGCCTAGTTTTAATTTCTTTATTCATTAGTTTAACAAATGCTTATTATATGCTTTTCATGCCCTAAGTCCTGTGCCAGGTTCCACTGATTTTTTTTGTGTGTGGTTCTGCCCTGTTATATCTAGGTGGACTTAAAAGAAACTTTTTTATTATCCTGACTACCTAGTTAATTTAAACATCTGTGATAGGGTTTAATAGTTCTTAAATCCAGTGTCAATGTAAGCTCTAGCTTCTATCTGAGTAGACTGCATTCTTCATGATTTCAAGTGAGCTTTTGAAGTAGTCACCTCTTCAGTTCTGGATTTTGTTTTCTTCTTCTTTAGAATGTTCAAGTATACAGGAAATGAATCTTATATAAGCAAAGTTACAAGACATCATAGGGACAATGCTAACTCCTCTTTTAGGAAATTGATCTGATGGGTTTTTTTGTTGTTGTTCAAAATTATTATTTGAGTTTTAGCCTGTGTTTTCTTTACCCCTCCCTCACAATAGTCAATTTATGAATCAATACTTCTGGCAAGAGCAGTAGGAGGTAATACCACAAATCATAACCATGATACTAAAGAACTTCACAAACAACAGTTAAGAATTATCGTTGAATTACAACTATAATCTTATTGTCTATGTGTGAGCTTTTAAAAATGCTTTCTAAAAATGAATTACATTGGGCTGGAAAGGTGGCTCAGTGGTAGAGCACTTGCCTTGCATGCATGAGGCCCTGGGTTCAATTCCTCAGCACCACAAAAGCAAAAAGAAAAAAGCCGGAAGTGGTGCTGTGGCTCAAGTGGTAGAGCACTAGCCTTGAGCTGAAGAGCTGAGGGACAGCCCCCAGGCCCAGAGTTGAGGCCCCACAACTGGACCCCCCCAAAAAAAACAAAAAAAGAATTACATTATAATAATTTAGGTAACTGTGGAGGTTTGTCAGATGCTCTTACTGACGGTAATCTTGAAATGTAGATTATTGTAGCTCTAGTGGTTTGCAATCATAGTCACTAAAATTGCTGTTTGATAGAGGTGTAGAAACTTTTTTTTTAACAGGAGGAAGCCTTTCTAAAATTTGACTCTAGGACAACTAAATATTTTTAAAGCCAATAAATCTAAAGTCTGAAATTATCAAGAGGCCTGATTACCTTTAGTGACAAACCAAAGGCAGATACTTGGGATTTCTGTTCATTTTTCAGATGTTAGCATGTACATTTGAACCTTTTCACTTCAATAATGTTCAATCAGATTCTCTTTCCCTCATTTTTATTGGGGCAGGGGTGGGCAGCCTACCTCTGGACAACACTTGAGACACAATTACTGCATACTGTCGACATGGCTGACAATACATTTACATTAAACTGTGTAGAAATAACGGCACATTTTACTAAAAGAAGAATATTGGCATAATGAGTTGTGTTTATTACCAAATAGATTAATATTATTGTATTAAAAGAAGAGGAAAATGATTAAATCATGTAGCACTTTGCAAATAGAAACGGCTTTTAGTATTTTGGAGGGTTATTTGTGTCTTTAATAGTATGTTAGATGGAGACTACATTTCTTAGTTTTTCCATTGTGACGTGTTTTATATTGTGACTTGCCATTGACAGCCCCCACTGCTGACAGCAGTAAACAATAAAGGGAGTGGAGATTCAGAATTATTTGGCCTAGATGACTTGGCGTATTTCAAGTTCATTCCTGTTTCTTTCTTTTTATTGCTTATTATTTTTCTCCCTCAGATTACATTATTACCTAAGCTATCAGTTTATAGACAAAACTGATAAAAGACAAAACTGTTCAAAGACAAAAACTGATAGTGAAAAACTGTACGTAATCTAAACAGCTTAGAAAAAGTAAACTATAATGTCATATCTGTTAGGATGATTTCTAATTCAAGAAACAAAACCTAACTAAGGGGGGCTTCAATAATAAGGGGTTTATCTCCTCACATAACAATCCCTTGTCTAGGGATTGTTAACTACTTGGAGTGACAAGATTATCTTGGGCCCAGTTCTTCCATCTTTAGTGTGCACACTATGGCTCCCTTCATCACCACAAGATGGCTGCACCAGCTCCAAACACCAGCTCTACTATTTTCTTCTCATATAAATTCGGTAGGTAGGGAAAAAAAATCTTCCTTAAGTGGGTTTTGAAGAACGAAGGAGCTCTTTCACAAATCCAACCTGTAATCTTGACATTATATATTATTGGTCAGAAGGAAGGCTTGTGAGCCAATTACTGACAAAGAGACTAGAATTATACTATAGTTTGCTAAGGCTACATAAGAATCACCTTCTGTGAATGGAAATGAAGGCAGCCTTCCCAGAAGCTCATGACTACCTGCAGGGGTGTGTGGGGGACGGGGTAAAGGGGAAGGAAGAGGAGGGAGTGTAAACCTTAAGCTTTGCTAGCAGAGATTTAATTGTTAATATTAACAATTAAAGTTTCCATTAATAACCTTATGTGAGGAGGTACTGTTAGATGTAACATAATTCTGGCATATATAGAATTTTCTTAACTACCACAAACCAAGTAAGACCTTTAAAAAACAAAGCAAGCACAAAGACTAGCAAAAATACACCAAAATATTAATAGTAAATATTTATAAGGGATAAACGATTGTTAGTTTCTTATTTTTTGTCTTTTTCTTCCATTTCTCTCACAACAGCATGCTATTCTATAACAAAGAAAAAGATGTAATGCATATTATTTTGAAAATCCAAGAGAAAGCCTTAATTTGTTGAATGTATTGACTTTTTTTCATCTTGATTTATTACTCCTGACCTGTCTTGGCTTGTCTTTTTTCACACACACAAACCCTAAAGCTGTTTCTAAGCCATTCTTTTACTTCAGTTACCTGTTTACTTTCTAGTTGTTTCCTTCCCCCCCCCATTTTTGTTTAATAACTTAGCTGCCTTTCTTTTTTCTTTTCTAGATTTTAAAAAATCCTGCTTCTCTTTTCTCACTTTTGATTTTTATTTTTTAAAGAGCTTCAGTAATCCCCTGGGTTGTGGGCATGAGAATTTTACCCAAGGTGCTTACTTCAGGGCCCTCTCTAACCCACTGGATAAATTGGAATTTCTAGTGATAAAGACTAAAGAGCTCTGTATTTCAAACAAACACTTCAGGTAGTTCTTATGAGCATTAGAGACGGAGAACTTCTGAGTTAGCCTTTGACACCATCATCCCCTTTA